GTTTATCTTAGTTTATATAGAATATATTAGAGTGGGTAATTTGAATTAAACTATACTAGTTATATTTAGTTTAACATCAAAATATAATTCCTATTTTTAAATGTAAGTCTATTTAATATAAAACACAAATAAATAAAAGTATAAAATAATTTAATGCAATGTTAGTTAACTTATTTAAACTGAAGATTTATAGTAAAATTTTTATTATTTAAAAATACAGATTTAGAAAAATATTCATTACAAATGCCATTCTTTAATCATATATTTTTTTATTTTGCATATATGATAATGGTAAATGCTAACTAACATATTATTTTAATAATAAATATTAGAATTCTGAATAATATGATTTTTCTAAATAAAAAATTATTATATCATTAAAATATTTATTGCTGACCATTTTATTTATTGTCATTTAAATTCTATAATCCAAGTTATTTAAAAAAATAAAGGTAAAATTGTTTCTATTAAGCGTTTTTATTTATTCTATTTATATAATAAAAGATTTTCATCTATCATCATATAGCTTTTTAGTTTTCTATTAAATGGTTCGGGAAAAGTCAAATCCTGTGCGTTCCTTTTTAAATAAGATATCATAAAAAATCAATCTATTTGTAAAATAGAAGATTGTGGTAAGATCTTAACTGGAGACCATGCTGCAAATCTTGAACGACATATAGAAAGATTCCACAATAGGGAATTCAAAACATTAAGAAAAAAGAAAGAAAATTTGACTATTAAAAAAATTCAAATAACGAAAACTGCAAACCAGTATAATACAATCCAAGATGCTTTTAAGTCCAACACTACTACAATATAAATCAATATAAATAAAGAAACTTTAATCCGCTCCTGCACCGAGCTAATAACAGTTCATGGTAGGCCAATAAAATCAATAGACGACAAAGCATTTCGAAATATTATAGATCCAATAATTATAGGATTGGGTGGAAATTTAACTATCAATTCGGAAAATATACGCAATAATATTAAAAAAATGGCGTTAGATTTTTCGGAAAATATAAAAAAGGAAGTGTATCAAAAACTTATTTCGTTAAAATTAGATATAGCAACTAGATATGATAGGTCCATATTGGTGATCAATATTCAATTTATAAATAACGGAAAAATAAAATTAAGGACTCTATGCATGAAAGTGATTAAAGAACGACACACATCAGAATATCTTAAAAAAATTATTCTAGATGTTTTAAAAGAATATGAAATAAAAATTGAGCAGATTTACACAATAACCACCGATACTGCAGCAAATATGATTAAGTTAATTAAGCTATTAATACTACACGATGAAGAAGATGATGACCTTAACGATTATTTAATTAATGATGATTTAAATAATAATGATATAGATAATGATGATTTAAATAATAATGATATAATTCATGATGAAAATAAAGAACCTTTTAATATTGAAAATATTAATCTTGCATCAAATGCCAGACCCATATTAATAGGTGTTAGATGTGCTTCACATACATTTCAATTAGCAATTAATGATTGCATTAAAAATTCAAATGAAATTGTCATTATAAATAAAGCAAGAAACATCTGCAAAAAAATAAGAAATCAGACAACAATGGCTATTCTCTCAAAATTAAATTTGAAAAAACCACTAATAGATTGTTGCACAAGATGGAACTTTATCTATTTAATGTTGGAGAGATTACTAGAGTTAAAAAGCTTTTGCCAAGAAATATCGCTCCAAAGCGATCAAAAATGTTTATCAGAGAATGAATGGGAAATAATTAGTGACATATTAAAAGCTTTATATCCAGCTTATGTTTTGACAAAATATTTACAAAGTGAACAATTGATAATGGGCGATTTTTATGCTGCGTGAATCATATGTCTCATGCAAACGAGTAAAGTAGACACTCCATTTGCCAGACTTTTAGTTTCTACGATGAAAGCACGAGAAATAAATTTTAAAAATGAAGTTTTTTGCTCTGCTATTTATCTCGACCCTAGATTAATGTATTTTTAACTTTTGAAGAAAGAGAGATCGCCAGAAAACATCTTTGTAAAAATTGGAACTTGATACAAAATCTAAATAATCATAATATTGAAATTCTAAATACTATGCCTACGTATTCGTATTCGAAGGATAATTTAGATGATGATTTTGAAGATTTATTAAAGTCGCATGAAAGTCTTAATAAGAATAATTCTCAGGGCATCGAAAATTATAATAAATGTATAGAAATAGAATATATAATTCGGTCATTTGATAATATAGAGAGATTAGAAAAAGATACTAATCTTTTGAATTATTGGGAAAATGTAAAGAATAGTATGCCAGAACTTTATAAGTTATCTATAACTGTGCTAGCAGTTCCAGCTACGCAGGTCTCCGTAGAAAGAGCATTTTCAAGCTTAAGTTTATACTCTCTGCGCAGAGAACTAAATTAAATCCTGAAATATTAGAAAATATTTTAGTTATCCGTTCGAATTCTCTTTTTAAACCTAAATAGTATAGTATACATATTATTTTATTGATTATTGTATTTACGCATGTTTGTTTTTATCTTATTTATTTATGAAATAAAAAAAAACTAATTTGTCTAATTTATATTTCCTAAATTTAATAAAAATATCTATTAGATTATCATGGATAAATTAAATAAGAAATTATAAACTAAAAAGATTTTTCTTTAAAATTAATATATACATGGTTAATGATTAATTTTTTTTTAAATTAAATTTATAAAAACCGGAACAAACCGAAAAGAACCGTTATAAACCGAACCGATATGATTTTTTTTAAAAACCGAAATGGAACAAAACCTTTATAAAATTTTAAACTAAAAACCGGAAAGAACCGAACCGTTATACTAAACGGTTCGAAACCCTGCTTGTAGGTGGATTACGCCAAATAGACCAGCAAATTAAACCCAATTATTTAGTTTCCGATGCTTCAAATGCAATCAGGAATGCCTATCATTTAAAATGGATAAGATTTTATTAATATATTGAGCGCATATAAGATTGAGCTTTATGAGAAAAAGGAATTAATAGTCTTATAAAGTAAACCTAAAAGTTCAACAAAAGTTGTTGACTTTCAGTTCTATTTCAAACCAAATGGAATCTATTTATTTTATCTGTCAAAATCTATCTGACTGAACTGGTTCTGTCTAATCTTCACTAATTCTATAAAATTTAAGGTTGTAGTTATTGGGAGACTCAGTCTTTCCAAAAATTTATGACGCTTACCCCAATAATTTGTTCTATACAATTAAAGGTAAATTCTGATTTAAAATGAGATATTACATGAATTTATCTTCAAATATTTACTATTATTTTATATAACGATGAAATTAAACTAGTAATAAAAGTCTTAAAGATTTGTGTTTAGTATATTATAAACTAAAAATATATAAATTTTATAGAAAAAAATTTACCCTAGTAAAATATTCTTCTTATATCCCTACAAAGAGTATAGAAATATTCTAGTCTTTTCATTTGATTTGGAATGTAAGTAAATTAACTTTGAATTTTGGTAACTCACTGAAACTCGGGGCGGGAAAATTTTTAATATTATTTTTTTATTTTAAATATTTTTTTTTATATATTTTTTTTATTAAAAAATAATAAATATGCGATCGCACAAATCTTAAAATATAATATTTTTTCAAGTTATAACAAAATGAAAATGTATATGATCATTACTCGGCCAATCACAACAGAAACCTTATAGACCCAAATGATATATCGACCCATATTCAACGTTTTAAGCATTTATGGAAGAATCGGTTACAGATTAAATCATGGGGAAATTTTCATATATTTTTATTTATTTTTTTTAAATTTTTTATTTATTTTTTTTAGATTGTCTGGATTTAGGTAGAAATTTTTGAATGTTACCTTTTTCTTTCAATTGGCGTATTTTTAGATTTTTTTTTTGATAAATATCGTGTGGATTTTTAAGGAAATTTTTTGATACAATATCAAAGTTTTTTAAATTTAACATTGTATATATGTTATGTTTATTCAAATAAATTGATTAATTATTTAGTATACCTATTTTTATTAAATTCTTAAATATACTCTTTTTTTCTAAATTCTTAAATATACTTTTTTTCTTAATTCTTAAATATATTCTTTTTTTCTAAATTCTTAAATATACTCTTTTTTTCTAAATTCTTAAATATACTCTTTTTTTCTAAATTCTTAAATATACTCTTTTTTTCTAAATTCTTAAATATACTCTTTTTTTCTAAATTCTTAAATATACTCTTTTTTTTAAATACTCTTTTTTTCTAAATTCTTAAATATACTTAAGATTTTTTTTAAATTTAAAAAAAATAATAAATAAAAAAATAAATAAAAAAAATATATTTAAAAAAAAAAATAATATATGAAAATTTCCCCATGATTTAATCTGTTACCAAGAATCTTAATAGCGAACATCCTTAGAACTTGAAGAAAATCTTCCTCTCATTTATATGTATGTGAATATTCTTATTTTCGTAATTTTAAAAATATGTCAAATTTAAGTAAATTAATTAAATTTTTAAATGATATAATTTATATAGAACTATTTATGTTCCTTAAAATTATACCTAACTTAGTAGCATTTATTATAGCACACGCCTTTTCCCATTTTTAATGTATGATTAAAGAATTTTGAAATTTTCACAAGAAAAAAAATATGAAATTCTTAATTCGAGTAATGAAACTTTGAATTATTATTACTTCAAAAAATTTCCACCCATATCCACACGATCGCATATTTATATATTTTAAATAAAATAAATATTAAAAATTTCCCTGAGTTTCAGTGAGTTACCGAACTTTTTTATAAATTGGATTATATATACCCTCAAAATAAAAGCAATGAAAGTCAAAAAAAAATAAACAATATAATTATGCATTGCATTGTTTGCCTTAATACTTTTTAAAAAAATATATAATTCCTTTTTTCCTTAAATTAATTTACATCAATTATGCTAAATAAACACATATATATATTTTTTTAATAGGCCAAATCTACAAACTTGGAAGCGTGACCAAGAGAATACTAGCAGAAATGGTTGATTTTTTTACTTTATTAGTTGTCAAACTTCTAATAACTTACATCATTGCTGATATATTTGATATAATGTAATTATTAATTTCCCTATTTTTATTAAGAAATATAATATATATTAGTGACCTATATATAAGTCAAAATGTCCTTGTACAAAATTCAAAATCTCCATTTTCAGGACTAGCCAATATTTTAAGAAAAAGATATTTTTGGCCTGAGTTATTATCTTTAAATTTGGCCCAGATTTTTATTTATTGTTATCATTTTTTGCCTCAGTATGGATTTTTTTATCTCTAATGGATTGGGCTGTTCTATTATTTCAGGATTGTTGCCCAGATAAAAGTGGATTTATGATTATTTGAAATCCCGAATCTTCAATAATTGATAGAGGCCTACCATTTACAGTAACAAGTTCTATGATAAAACTCATCAAATCATTAGATGTTAAATTTATATTTATAGATTTTTTGGAAAAAAAGTTTCCATATTAATTTTGGGCTTTTTTGCAAATAACACTTCCTGATATTTTATTTTGTTTTTTTATTTTAATAATTTAGATATTCATTGTTGTGATTTCTTTCCAGATGTATATCTAAATTTGACAAATGATTACCAGGACATTTTTAATTTGTAATATGAGCACACTGATTTATTTTCTATTGTATCAAGAGTAAAATGCTTCTCAAATATGATTTTATCTTTGATCTTTAATCTATATAATAAAATGATGAATTGATGAACATTTATTAAACTTTCAAATAAAAGAGTAAAGAGAATAATTTTTTTAAATAGCAGTGATTTCATAGAATTAAAAAACAGCATATATAAATTATAAAATGATTTTGATAAGTTTACAAAAACTGCCTCACATCTTTGTTTAACAATTTTTAAGTTCGATTTTGAGAATTCTTTAAATTAACAATATCCAATATAATAATTTTTATTTTGACTTGTTCCCTTTCACATTGCTCTAATTAATAATCTTTGAGAATAAGTTAAAAATTTTAAAAAAATTGGCATAAATGAAATTTATTGTTTAAAATTTATTAACGAAATCTTTAAGAATAAATTTAAAAATGGCGTAAATAAATTAAGTTGTTTAAAATTTATTAACACTTCATTTAATTGGAAATTTGAAAATATTATAAAATCTCAATTAAATTATTAATATTTGTATTTACAATTATACAAATATCTTAATGATTTTAAACAATACACTGAACCCGGTTGAACCCTTGTTTAGAAAAATTTCCGGGTTCGGTTCGGGGTTTTAAATTTTATAAACGGGGTTCCGGTTCGGTTCGGGTTCAGATTTTAAAAAACCCGGGTTTTCTTCTCTGTGTTCGGTTCGAATTCCAGGTTTTGCTGTCTCTTTTATATCTAACTTGATCTACTAAGAAATTTTTTGATGTCTTATTTTGCCTTAATACGCACATTTAAAAAAATATATGCCTTATTTATAAGAGTATTATACCATAGTTTATGCTTTAAAAAAAATTTAAACCTTACTAAAGGTTGTGGGCTGAACCAGCCCATCAAATTTTTATTGAATTTTTTTAACCAGGCTTTTAATTATTTTTACCTTGCTGAACCCATAAAATATCTTTTATATAAGTTTTATGCCCTGCACTATAATAATAAATTATCATCTTTAAGGAAACTTTGGCTTAGCCCGACTCATAAAAATATTTCGAACCTTTTATTATGTTTTTTTTATTAACAGAGATTTAAACACTACTCATTTGGAAGCTCTATTCACGTCTGAAATAACTTTACAAACAACTTTAAATATGACATCTGAATTCCTTGTCTTAGAGCTGATTCATAGAATATGTGTATGTTTTATAGAAGTTCGTGACACTTTTTTTTATAAAATTATATTTTTTATTCTGTTGAGTATACTTTGTTATTTTATCAAATATTTCAGATTTGATAATGAGATATTAAAATATTAATCATCCATTCATAATCCTAGCACATTTCGAACTAAGAGCAAATAATATTTTTACCGCACCACACTTTCCTTCATTCCTATTTTTTAAAGAGGATTAAATATAACTTTTTATTAAATTCTAATTTTTAAATATATTTATAAATAGAATTGTGGATTTTATTAGCCTAATCTTCTATTGATTTTTTTTAAAAAACATTTGCCAAATATAACTTAGCTAGATTTCAACTACCAAAATAAAATGGTTACATTTTGAGGAAAAGCCGAATCTTGTTGAATATCTTTTTTTTATTGTTTACCTTTTCTTTTAACTATTCATAAGCACGAAATACATTTTTTTAATAATAAAAATTTATTAGGAATAATGAATTTTAACATTCACCTATATATTAAAAAATATTTATATTTTCAGGCAGCTTACACCCGTAGAGGCTACTTTGGACAAGGTGGAGCAACGCCTGGTAAACTAATGTTAAAACTTAAAATAGTTTCTTGTGAAACTATTTATTCCATACCCGGCGTCGAAGAAACATACTTTATTTCTCCTGCCCTTGATATAGGATTTCCCAAGTATATCTTTTAAATCCATTCATTTTAGAGACATACCCGGCCCAATTTTATAGCGAGCCGATCTTTAAAATTAGTTTTTTGTAACCCGGGCAAAAAAAACAATTTTATACCCAGGCCAAGTTCTTAAATAGGTGCAACTGCAGGTCTGCTCTTATGCATAAATGTGATATCACTTATTATGTCAAATTAATAATTATTTTTATAAAATTATTAATATCGAATATATAATTATGATATTTTAAGGGCCCTGTTAAGATCTTTTCTCAAGAATTTTTCTTTGGCGTTGGTTTTTCCCACTTTTGCCAGCATAGTAGTCAATCCCCAGAAGAGAGCCTTGTACGATTTGATATGTAAGACCATTGTCGTTGAAGATGACAACCCTTAACAAAAATATTACATGTATTTGATTGATATATTTATTGTTTATAGATTATTTCAATGTAATTTAATTGTTTCAGTTTTATTTATATATAGTTTATTATTTTTACAATATTTTGTTTTATTTATAAAGTAAATCAATAATTGTTCTAGTTTAAGAAGTATGCTATTTGGAATTGAAATATAATATATTAATAATCAGAACTTTCCACAAATGCAATCAATCATTATGTTTTGTGATAAAATTATGTTATGAATAAAATGATGATTAGTTACCAAGATAAATATTATCATCAACTTGAGAAATTTTGTCCAAATTATAGAATTTTAATGAATAATATATGCTTTCCTCATTTATTGCTCAAAATATATATTCATATTCGTTTTTATTTAAGCTGTTATTTATTTTTCATATTTTTAGAAAAATTTATTTAATTTTACAGCTTAAATAATATGTCAATGTCTTAGGGTTCAATATACAATTACCAGTTGTCACTAGCTTTTACGATCTCAGGGACTCTTTAAAAAAAGAAAATTTTTATTTTTAGGAATTACCTTTTTTTCAAGAAATATTCAGGGGGCTCTTCAAATTTTTCAGAGGCCTTAAACTTCTGCGCCCCCATCTCCCACTAGTGACGCTACTGTTACCAATATATATATCTTTTTCAGTTTTTTATTTAATTGTTAGTTATTAAACATATTTTTCCCCATTTGAATTATATTACCAGTAAGAGTAAATTATAATATAGTATAATATTTTCATTTATATGGTTATTTATATTTAAATTTTTAGATTTTTTATATTAATTATAATTACTATAAAATCTCTAATTCATCAAAATTGCCCCAAAATTTATTAGTTCGTGTCGTGTTATTATAATATTAAATAACAATAAATGCATCCTTATTTATTAAATATTAAAAATTGCATTTTCTGATTTTAATTATTTTTAATATAATTACATTTAAATATTTAAACACCTATATTCTTCTATTAAAATTTATATTCAATAAATAAATTACTTTATTATTAAATAATATATCTAATAATTAGATTTAAATGGTATGTTATTTATAATATAATAAGATATTAAAACTAAATTAATAATGTATATAAATATATCTGTCAAATTGCAGTTTTCTTACGGTTTACATATTTACAATTTGGCTTCTGCAAACTATTATCAGGAAAATATAAAATTATGGCACTATCCTTTGTTCCATCTGCTAGCAAATTCTTCATGCGCTGTTTTTAAAAATTTAACACTATATGTCTAAAAAAATTCTTTTCGCAAAAAGTCACCTTCTTTTAAAAATTGACATAAAGTTTTTCAAAAAGACTATGAAATTGCAATGGGCCTTATGTGACTAAGAATCTTTATATATAAAAAATAAACGGAGCGGATATATGTCACAATTTATCACCTCTCCCTTCTTAACAGTTGGCTACCCTGGTATCAAACGGCTTAATAAATAGTTGGACTGTATCAATACCACTTTTTGGAGGCCGATCCGATAGTAACAAAATTGAATGGATATTGGTCGATTTCCGATCTGATATTACACCTGTTCTTTATACATATTTAATTTTTAAATGTGTAAAAGTGTACAAAATATTTTGTTTATAAATCATTTATTTATATAATAATATATTTATTTATATTAATTAAACAAATATACTAAGATATTTTATATTAATAATTAAAATGAATATATCGAAAATTTATAGTTTACTAGTAGAAAGCCCGTCAAAAATGACGGGGAATGAGATTTTTATTCATTTTTTACGATATATGTCATGCCAGGTTCAAGCTCACCATATTAGGAAGCATCCAAGATCTTATAATTTTAAAAAAGTTTATCAAGCCCAGCTCAACCCTTAATAATTTGTAAAGGATATTCCCAAGTCAGGTGCAAGCTAATATTAATTTTGAGGTTCCAAGCCCAGTCCTGCCCATAATAATTTTGAAAATTTTTCCCACCTCGGAGATAGTTAAATTTTTGATATCATCACATGAACGGGAAGTATCTGATTTACCAATTAGTCTAATATGTAAAAAAACATGTAAATTCCGTATTAAGGGAAACTGGGAAGGCCTGGGCAACCACTTATTAGAGAATCATGACAAATAAAATAAAAATAACCAACTCTTATACTTTTTTGTAATATGATCAATTAAAATTATATCTAAAAAATATGTTGTTTATTATATAGGGTTATTGTTGTTTTTCAGATAAATTTAATGTATGTCTTGCATTTCTGAAATTATTTGTCAAAGAATTTGATAAGGGATATATATTTTTTTATGTTAAGTAAAAAAAAATGCTGTCTATTTAAATTACAAAAATGCCATTAAACACTAATGAAACTTATATGTAAATTATTTATATATTTTTTAAGATATTTTTTTTATTGACATAAATTTAGGATAATTTTTTTTAAAAATCATGAAGATTATTTATTATGTATTTGATAAAATTAAGAGCAAATCCTTGTTGACATTTTAATTTTTGATGGAAAAGGCCACAGAATAAATCTGGGCGGTCGTCTTGAGAGGAAATAATTAATGAATATTATATCATTTAGGGTTGTAGATGAAAGTGATGACGAATTAACAAAGCAGTGTACAAAACACATTAGTCCTGATAAAGATGATATGCCTATGCCTTGGGATACTGGTAAAAGAAGAAAGCAAAACGATATATCTGTCTATGACAGCATTGGTATCCCCCTCTAAAAAAGAATATTGAACGACAATGTTAACTCAACCATAAAACGGTCGTAAGTATTGTTATAAAGGTTACGACAGAACTACTGCGTATATTTCCATTAATAAAGTTGATGAAATTGGCCGTACTGTACATTCAAGTTTGAACATTCCTCTAAATATTGATGAAAGTTTCTCAGAGAATCGGATAAAGTAATATTTATATTAACTCCTAGTGAAGTGAATGATAGTACAGAATTAAATGTTTATATTTGTTAAAAAATAGGCGGAGGCATAGGGATTGTGGTAGTGGTGATAGTATAATTTGGAGAACTGGGTGAAAATAAAATAAACATAGATATAAAACATAAGATAAAAAAACAAAATAAACCTCCAGATGAGTTCATTTCAAGCGTAGTTCTTTATTATTTTGTCTACAAGTATCTCTAGAACGGGTAAGGCGTTTGTTTAATCGTCATTATTTTCTTTGCTTATCTTTAATAATAGATTCATCATGTTTTGTACCAATGTGAGGGTTTAGGGTTAGACTAGACAAATAAAGAAATCAGTCAAAAATATTAAACAAACATTAAAATAATGTAAAACCGGTAGATGGATCAATATTAGATGTATATTTATAGTAGTTGGAGGGCTATCATCAAAATAAATTTTTGGGAGACTTATCAAGCCTATTATGATATTCTAAAAGTTAAAAAATATCATGATGAATGTAATGTTATTAAGATTAAGGTTAATTAATTGTAAGGTAATTAAAAAATAAGATTAAAAAAGGGGGGAAAAAGAAGTTATAAATTATTATATTATAAAAATTTAATTAAAGGAATTGATAAGGTTTTGAAGAAATAGTAGTTAATAGATAATAGAGATAGAAAGAAAAGAATGAGATAATAAAATTTAGTGATAAATAAATTCATTAAGGGAGAGGAAAAAATAAAGAAAGAGTTATTTATAAGGATTGGAGATTATAAATAGGTTAGGATAAGAATATTTAAATATTTGAATATACTTGGTTATCTTCTTAATTATTGGTTATGAAAGAAAAATATGAGTATAAAAAATTGTAATGTAAGTACTGACAAAAATTGTTAGTATCAAAATAAATATACAAGTTGAGTATCTTTTAGAGATTTCATTAATGTATAATTGATAATATGAGATGAAAATTGATAAGGTAATCTAAAAGATAAAGAAAGGATTAAGTGAAATAAAAAGTTTCATTCATATTTACAAAGTTGAGGGAATATTGTTTTTATCAATTCAAAGACGATTTTTCAAATCTCTCAATCCATGTTAGTTATGTGTACACCATCAATTCTCGAAATTCCATTCATCTGTTTGTATAAAATAATAAAATCAACAAATAAAAAAAATAAAAATATTTACGTACCGATGACATGACGTAGCGATGACATGACGTCACGATGACGTAGTGAGAACATCGGAAAATTATAATATAGATTCTAGCTCAGCCTTCATTAATGGAGATTGTCAATATCACCAGCTTCACTTAAAAATAAATTCAGATGATACACTTTTGGAAAGTATTGCTAGTTAATGATAAGCAATTTTAGAAAAAGTAGGATATTTGTGGCAGTTCACAGCACGATATTTTAAAGAATCTGCTTAGGTATTATCATTTATTGCTTTAAATATTGGTTCCTTGACATAATTTTCTCCTTCAAGGTAATATATTTTATAATATTGTTAATATAATTTGAATCTATCCCCACAAACTAAATATTCCAGTTGAAGTGGTTGCTGACTTTGATGGAATTTCTTCATGTCCGTATTTTGATTTTCTATACTGCATATATGATAAATATAATATGTAAATAAGTTGCATTTTTTGTAGACTGGTTAAATCAATTTCCTCAGGGCCTTATTTTCTAAAAACATTTATTTGAAAAAATATTGTTTTAAAACGTGAATCCAAAATTGTGGCCAGGAATCAATTTTTTTATTATAAATACAAGAAAAACGTATAGTAATTTTTATACATCGCATCCTTCATAGACTGGACACCTTTATCATGTTCACCATGATTAGCTAATTTTTTAAAATAATTCTATGAATGGAATAATATTCTAATTGATGCAATTTATTTATTATTTCTTTTGTAATGCGATGAATTATAAATAAAAGTAGCTATAAATTTTTATAAAATTAAAATACCATTTTATCGGATCGTATCAACAAATTTAATAATATTCGCCTATAACCGTTATTTTTAAAAATAGGAATAATCGGTCCGATTCGATAAAAAATATCGGTACATCCCTAGTAATTAAAATCTTTAGATCAATGCCGGCTCTAGTTGTCAGCTCGAAAGTTTCATATAGGGCATCGATCTTAGATTAAGGTGTCCTCTAACGATTTAGTTGCCTTAAGAAAATAGAGGCTGGGTTGAAGTCAATGGTGATATGGCCCATATATTAGAGTGAAAGTCTTCCCGGTATCATAAACTGTCAACTGGTTAATTCCATTGATATCGCCATATCACTGTATGGGTTATGAAAACCGTTAGTGTCCAGTCCACGTCAAAATATTTGAAAATTATATCTGGGTTTATCGTTTTATTTACTTTGGAGTTTTAGTAATCTATGTGAGGCTCCATAACATAGCAATACGGCACGCAGCCGCTATCTTTTTTAAAATATTTGATATTGCATAATATGTGAATTATGGATTAACTAAGAATTATTTCGTAATTTAAATGAATACGATAAAATAAAATTTGAGTTTAACTATATTTAGATACGAAATCTGAACTTAATTAGGTTTTTAACGAAGTTCTTTAGAAATCTCGGGTTAATAATTTTAGCAGATTTTATATTCCAAAAAGGAATTAAAATTTAAAGACAGAGCCCCTTGCCCACATTTATCAACCTTGGTAGACCCCCTCACCTCAAATAACTATTATGTTAGAATTGTAAACTAGGCTAATTTTATGCAAATTAAAAGGAAATAATTATGCTTAATGATTACAAACATAAATTAATTTGCAATATACATAGATTATTAATCTTTTGTTTATGACATGGTATTTTGAAAAGACATATTTAAGGAGAGATTAAATCAAAGACCTTCTGTTTTTCGTTTTTTAAAGAATTTCCATGTTTAAAAGTAATTTTAATAGGTTAAATTTCTTTTATATTATGTTAAATTTAAAATAAATAATTATCAAAATTTTTATAAATCATAATCGCATAAAATTTTAATTTGAAGCACATGAAAATCAACCAAACCAAAATGGTTCCATGTTGTTCAAATGTCTATTCAATTCATATCATATATACCTAATCTTTACTTTTAAAAATATAATTTAAATCTATTATTCGATATCTTTTTATTAATTTATAAATGATTGGACTTTTGATTTCATTCAAGGTCTCATAAGATTTTATTATACATTTAAAGTTGATTAGTTTACTTTATCTTTTTAAAAATAATTCATTGCTCATATGACATGATGAGATAAATCTTTTGATTCGCCTTTAAGATTAATCGAGATTATCAAATATTATATGAATAATAGACCGGTCTGCATTTATATGATATATTTAAGATTTTTATTACAAGCAATATTTTGAAAATGGCAGGGGCGTCGCTAGCCTTCAGGGGCTTAACTAAAAAAAAATTTATTGGGGGAAGGGCTGCTGGCCGGGTTTATATATTAGTATATTATGCATAAAATTTGTTAACTATGAACAATTATTTGAATATTTTGTCATTTATTATATTATGCATACAAAATAAACTGGCATATAAATAATTAAAACAATACAAGACATTTCTAAAAATAATATTTATATTACAAAATCTATTTATTACAGTATAAAATATTTTCGATTGCTGATATAAAAAAATCTGCGTCTAAAGAATTACAAGTGATTAAAAAGGTTAATTTATTCATAAATATGCCTCAATTGATAATAGTTTTAAAAACCACATAGTGCAACATGTAATTCTTAGCACTTATATTGACAAAAGGTTATGAAACTAATATAACTCTCTGTTACCATTTTAGACAATGTTTTATAGAATAGACTAATAAGGAAAATTTTATAGGCCTAAACCAAATCAACAATTCTTGAAGAAGAGAGTATAAATGACCAATCTAAATCATAAATTTATATGGTGGTTAGAGCTTCCTCTTAGATGACATGATGGAAGCTTGATAAGTAATCAAGAAAATTATTGTGAGATATCAAATTTCTAAAAGATTATCTTCCATTTTTAATGATATATAAACGACCAGCTTCTGCATGACAGAATTTTTACTGAATGCAAACCCCTCTCAAAAACCTATGCCTACCTTCCTCGCCACCTTCGGCGGCGATGTTTTATCATTTTTAATTTCACCTTTTTAATTATAATGATACTCTATCATTATAATTTAAAAAGAATAACTTAAATTATTTTATCTCTACTACCAACTATCGACATTTTGTGAATATAAAGGAGTTATTTTTTAGATAATTAATTCAATTAAAACCCCCATCATTTACAATTAATTCATTATTATAGCATTATGAGCTTGCTGAAAATGTCTAAACCTTTTAAATAACATTTGTAAAAATAGCAGAAAGATTTATTTGGAAAATAATATCTATGATTATTTGCAATATATAGATTTGGTTGATGAACTGTATTATAATAGGTCTAAATTAAAGTAATAATTTTTACAGCAATAAGTTTTGTTCTATTTGTTCTCAAAATTTAATAGATAACCCCCCCCCCCCTCCCCCCAAAAAAGATACCCTACCCCCATTAAAGCCGCCTACCCCCTACCCCCTCAAAAAATAGGATGCAAACTGCTCCTACCCCTTTCCCCTTTCATGTAGACGCTGTAAACGACTACACAGTTGACAATTATTGTTTATCTAAAATATGCTATCATATGCTCTCAGCAGCTGTAGTAATAATCTTAAATTACATTGCCACACAAATAATAGATTCTGGTTAATTTGCAATTATAGCCATGACACTCACGATGTTAACTCATATCAGAATTTATGATAAATTGATAAAACAAAAACACTAAAAATATTTAGAAGAAATAATGCAAATATTGAAGCCTTGAGTTATTTACACGGCAAGGATGCCATATTAGAAATGAAACATTTTCTAACTATAAAATAAGGACCAGAATGATATGATGAATCAATTAAGATTTTATATATTGTCGCACCACATCTAGTTGGTATATTATATTTAAAATAATAGTAGTTTGTAATAATATCAAAAATATACTTGTATTAAAAATTTAACTCATAACTGTTTTTCGGAAAAGAAAAAAATTGCTTTCTTAAAAGCTTGTAAAAAAAAAAGACGAAAAGATATCTGATTTATTACATCCATTGTAAGATGAATAATAAAATTTTGAATTATTAAAATAATCCATAACTAAATAGATGGCGTTAAATACTTGAATGCAAATTGTTACTATATTTATTATCAAAAGCATTTATTAGTTAAATTTATTAAATATTAACTGTAAAATATTATATATCTGTCAAATAGGTGTATAAAAGTGGCATTTTATCTAATATTTTATAACCAACTGTATAGAATAGTATTTACTTTTTATAAATCTTATACTTATTTGGACCTTGAAAATATTATTAGGTATAGGTATATTAAATTTAAAAATAAATTGTTAATATGACCGATTAATACTAACCTTTAAATGGTTTTTTTTTATGTTGATATAAATTGATTTTTTTATAAATTGTATAGATTGATTTTTTTATAAATTGTATAGATTGATTTTTCTATAAATTGTATAGATTGATTTTTTTATAAATTGTATAGATTGATTTTTTTATATAAATTTTGATATATTAATATAAAAATTGTTATATAAAGCAGATTTTTTTTTAGTTTAAAAAAAATGTAAAATTTTAAAATATATTGTATAAAAATTAAATTATTAATTTAAAATAAAATAAACAATCTTTATATTAGAAAACTTTATGGTTTCATTTTTATATTTAGAAAACTCATATCATTACTTCATTTATTTTAGAATACTTAATAAATATAGAGATGAACTCGACTTATTACAATATTAAATTTGTTAGTTTTCATTTAATAAATGATTATATTTATTTAATTTGGGTTATACAATAATTTAAATAATAATAGTCAATTAAGCTTCAACTGAATGCTATGTTAATATTTAGTGAGTGATTTAGACGGTCTTATTAATTTTTAAATAATATTATTATATCTTTATATTACTTAATAGAATTATATAAAAAACGTTCAGGGGGCAATCAAAAAAATTTAGTTTTAAATCAAGGAGTAAGATTCCATTAAAAATTTTTTTTTCTTCAGAGGTCTATTCATATATTTTAAGGAGCTCGAGCCCCCACGACCTCTCCCCTCCCTCTAGTGACGCCACTGGTAAATGACACAATTTTTTCTCAGGAATATTAAATTATCGCATCCATTGAAGGTTATTTTGGTAGGCAAGAATATATGCCCCCGCCCTATCCTTAATCAAGAGCTTAGCAGTATCAATTTGTTTATTTCAACTTCAAGAGTTAAAAAAAAACAATATTAGATTAGTTTTATCATTCATTTTTTAATTTTAACGCATAACAACTGACATCTGAGATAATGCGTATTTTCTACAATTTAGAGTCTGGAATGGTTAGCCATTTAACATGGTATCTTTCATAATTATAGATTGATGATGAGATAGTTATCGATATTATAAAAAAATAATTGATGTCGATCAGTTGTTGTCATGATAATAATATAACGATATTTAGCATAAATTTTAATTTAACTTTAGACAATTTAAACCTAAATGTAAATGAGCTGTCTTTTATTATACAGGTTATTTATTTAAGTGCCTTTAATATATTCCACAATTTTTTGTTATTCCGACATTCTTTTTTTTAAAAAAATTAATTACTTTCAATATTGATCTCTTTTCATGATAATAATTATTTAGGTATTTATATAAATTAATATTTTTATAAAACATTTTTAGGTTTTAATAAATTTTATAATATGTTTGATTTGTCGATTCAAAAGTTTTAAGTTTTATTCATATTTATATTACTGCGCCCACTTCCGTTTAATTTATTTTACCGGCTAAAAATGGTATGTTTTTTGTCATATAAAATTATTTTATATATTTAAATATTATAACAGCGCGAATGCATAAGTATTCATGTTGGCCAGGCTGGTGTTCAAATGGGTAATGCCTGTTGGGAATTATATTGTCTAGAACACGGTATTCAACCAAATGGTCAAATGCCATCTGATAAAACTCCAGGTGTAATGGATGATAGTTTCAATACTTTCTTCTTTGAAACTGGCTCAGGAAAGCATGTTCCACGAGCTGTATTCGTTGATTTAGAGCCAACAGTTGTGGGTATGATAATTTTTATGAATTTTTATTTATATATGATATAGACGAAGTAAGAACTGGGATGTATAAACAATTATTTCACCCCGAACAGCTGATAACTGGGAAAGAAGATGCAGCAAATAATTATGCCCGTGGACATTATACTATCGGCAAAGAAACGATAGATATAGTTCTTGATCGTATTAGAAAGATGTCTGATCAATGTAATGGCTTGCAAGGATTCTTAATTTTTCATAGTTTTGGAGGTGGAACTGGTTCAGGATTTACATCCTTATTAATGGAAAGACTTTCTGTAGATTTTGGCAAAAAATCTAAATTAGAGTTTTCAATTTATCCTGCTCCCCAAGTTTGTAAATGTTTACATTTCATTTTTATAAAGCATTTTATTAGATATCAACAGCTGTTGTTGAGCCTTACAACTCTATCTTAACCACTCATACTACTTTAGAACATTCCGACTGTGCATTTATGGTTGATAATGAAGCCATATATGATATCTGCAAAAGAAATCTTGACATTGATCGTCCTACCTACACAAATTTAAACCGTTTAATTGGACAAATTGTATCATCAATTACAGCTAGCCTAAGATTTGATGGTGCATTGAATGTTGATCTTACTGAGTTTCAAACAAACTTAGTACCTTATCCTAGAATTCATTTTCCATTAGCAACATATGCACCTGTTATTTCAGCTGAGAAAGCTTGTCATGAACAACTAAGTGTTGCTGAAATTACAAATTCTTGTTTTGAACCAGCAAATCAATTGGTAAAATGTGATCCACGACATGGAAAATACATGGCATGTTGTCTTTTATATAGGTAAATTAACATTGAGTTTATCTTAATGAATTTAATTTTTTTAGAGGTGATGTTGTGCCTAAAGATGTTAATGCTGCCATTGCAACTATTAAGACTAAACGTACAATTCAATTTGTGGATTGGTGTCCTACTGGGTTTAAAGTTGGGATAAATTACCAACCACCAACAATAGTTCCAGGTGGAGATTTAGCCAAAGTTAATAGAGCAGTATGTATGTTGAGTAATACCACTGCTATAGCTGAAGCCTGGGCTAGACTGGATCATAAATTTGATCTCATGTATGCAAAGAGAGCCTTTGTTCATTGGTATGTAGGTGAAGGTATGGAAGAGGGAGAATTTTCTGAAGCTCGTGAAGATTTAGCGGCTCTGGAAAAAGATTATGAAGAAGTTGGAGTGGACAGTGTTGAAGGAGGTGAAGATGAAGGTGAGTATTGATTAAAGTTTAAATAATCATATAATAATACTTAAGTTATGTAATGACCAAATTATTTTACCCTTATTGTATTTAATATAATAGATATTAATTTTTTGATACCCAACATTTACATGTTTATTATGCTCCCTAGATTTACACTTAATTTTCACATCACATGAATTTGCTATTTGATACTTTTAAAATATGAATGCTATAAAGAATTAATATAATCTCTATTTTTAAATAAAATATTGCCATTTTTTATAATGTATATTTATTTAAATTTTATTAATATTATATGAAAAACTTGTATATCTGTTATGTAATTATATTCATATTTTGTAATTAGATACCTGTGCTTTTTTAAATTCAAAGTATTTTTATATTTTTTAATAAAAGTATTTTTTATATTAAAGTTGTTTAATTTTGATATTATCAAATTTACAGACAATACTTTGTCTAGCCATTTAAAAAATCAATAATATTAAAATTAACTTAAGGGTAAAATACTCTGCAAAGGATAAGATGGAATTTCCATTTTATAAAATAATTTCACAACCAACACATTAAATTAAGATCTGCACGTTTTTTTATTATATAAAATTATAAAATAAGGAAATTATTCTTTACAAATTATTATTATCTTATAATAATCTAAAAGTTTATTAACATCTTTATTTTTATCATCTATGCAAGCTTTAAGACAAAAACTCTTTATTAGCTTAAGTGCCATTTTATGAACACCATTTAGAAATAATGATGTGTGAATTTATTGCTTTTGATTCATTTATGATATGTTTTATTATAAGATTCAGAAAAAGATCCTATTTACATATTTATTTACAAATTTTTATTTTAACAAAACCTTTTTTGCCATCATACAAAGTGCGTTTCACTTTGTAAAGCTAGTTTCAAATTATAACAAAAATTAGGAAGACGATAATTTAATTTTTTACCATAGATTTATGCAATAGATGAGATTATAATATGCATTTTCAAAATGATATTAAATTTAAACAAAATAAATAATCACGAAAATGATATTTATGTGACCTACAGGTAAGTCACATGTTTATTCCCACAAAGCAAAATATTATATTGTGCATTTTTTTTAATAATGAAATATGGAAATTCAATAATAAACCATGTTATGCCGATTTCTTTATCAAAAAACATTCATCTTATTAAATGCTTCGTGTTATTATTTTTTTCCTATAATGATCATATTGAACAGATATGAAGATTTTTAATATAGGTCCGATAATTCATTATCGCTTATCTGATCGTTAAATTGGTCCGATAATATGTTGTATTCCATATTAAATCAATCAAAAAAAGTCGATTCTCAACTCAACCCCTTCGATTATTTTAAAATTTCTATGTTATTTAATATTTTACTTTTAAAATCGGCTTACTTCATGAGAAACGGTCATCTTTAGAAACGCTAAAATTCCAAAATACACTAATTTAAATATCTTAAAAAGTAATTAAGCTAAATACATAATTTAAATTTTATTAAATAGCCCGGTGTTGTTAAAAAGTCGAGTTCACGTGTCTGTAGCCGATTAACTTGAGAACACGAGTTTTCAACTTGAGTCGACTGGACGAATATTACGAATTGTATTGTTGAATCATACAACATTTGGGGACGAGTATTTCAAATTAGTTATTAATTAAAAAGTTTAGAATAAAATGATTCATTTCAAGTTTTATTAAAAGTTTTTTTTGCCATTATATTTAATATATTTTAAAAATTTATATTTATCCTTAATATTTTACCAGAAAGTAACATTGTCCTATTCAGAAATGTCAAAAGGAGGTTATTTAACATAGTTTGGAAGAGAAAAAATGACTAGGTCAAACAGACCGGGGCAACAATTCTCCGGTCAAAATCACCCCAATTTAAACAAATATTAAATGGGATTAATGTAGAATAAATTGTAAAGCTTTAATTTATAATTAGAAGTGTAATACTATTTAAGATTCTTTTTTAGTTTTCGTTTAGTGGAGTTAATAAAATGATCATATATGGCAGCAGAGGAGGTGAATAAATTTACATTAATCACATTACACTTAATAATATTTTTTTGAATCCTGATAATTATAAAAATTTCACTTTCATTTTTTAATACTTACCCACATCGCAATAACTGAATGGGGTAATTTAAAAAACACGTTTAATCTATCCGACGCAGAGCTGTGCAAATTCAATTTTTTTGGCCTGGGCCCATTTAATTTATGTTAAAACATTATTTCAGTCCTATATTTTTAGGCACTAACACCTTTTATCCCTGAGTCCGAATATATTTAAAAAGCATTTTAATTTTTCCATAAAGTTAAATTTAATACTAATTGTCCATGTCCTAATCTCAGAAAAATTCTAATTTATCCTTTATTTAGAAAAAAAAGTGAATTTTCGAATCGTGAAAAATCGCTCGGCTAACCAATATAATAACTCATTTTAATCTTATTTTATTTAGTATTTTTAAGGCCTAGCTCGCCCCGATTGAGAAATTTTTTGACTTGATTTTAAGTTGCTGGCTATACCATCTAACCCCAGAAGACGCCATTGCATTTGCTGCTTCTTTAATTTTGGTATATATTTAAACTATTTGGAATAATATTATTCATCTGAACCACGGGTCTGGACCAGTGTTTCCAGGTCCCTCATCAGCGGGAGACTCCCGCAATTTTTGTTTATCTGCAGACATCTCACTCCTACAAAACTACCACAATTTTTTAAATTTCTCCCACACAGTTTTTTTATAATATTTTAACGTTTTTAATATATAAATAATAATTTTGAGAAACAGTAATTGATTATTTTTATATTTTTAAAATAAATTTTAAATATTTATTCAAAAAACATGTCTAGTTTTTAAATTTCAATGTTTTTATTTTTATCCAATAATAGATCAACATCATTCATTCACATTTTATCATTTTCATGTGTTTTTTCGTAACATTATAGGGCTAGGCGCTTAATTATCACTTATCACGTTTAAATATATAATAAGATAATATTGTACTTATTTCAATGATAATTATTTTATTTATATCTTTCGATTACATTATTATAATCAGTGTAGAAGAGTGTATTTGCCAGGGACCAGAACCGTTATTTACAACGGTTCAGTTTGGTTACGGTTCAGTATTTAAAAAATTATAATGGTTACGTTTTGGTTACGGTTCTTAAGAAAAAATTTATAAAGGTTCGGTTCGGTTCAGCTAATTGTAAAGATTTATAATGGTTCATTACGGTTAGAAATTTTTTTTTTATTGAAGCAACACCATCGTCTAATTTATTTTTATTATAAGCATCTATGAATTATATATAAAAAAAAATATAAGATTCAAAATAACTCATAATATATTATTTGAACGCATACTTTCTAATATAAATGGATTCATATTTGTTCGCTGTGAAGATAATTCAAATTTTAGCCCCGAAAAGGCCCTTTCTACAGAAACTTGTGTTGCGGGAACCGCCAGTACTATAAGAGCAAGTTTATATAATACTAGATATTCAAATTTTTTCGATTCCTAAAATATAAAAACTGAACTGGTTTGAACTGGTTTATCCCTTTTTTATATGGGTTTTTTTTACTCCTTCAAAAAATAATTATATCTGTTCGGTTACGGTTTAGATATTTATAATGGTTTAACGGTTCGTTACGGTTCACTCCGGGTCCCTAGTAATCTATTACAATACAAAATTATGCTCTAAAAATAAGAAATAATACAAATGCAACTACAGTTGCGGAAATGGTATACACTTATCATGTAGTACAACATTCAAAGAGCCACTTATCATCACAATTGGGTCGAATCTTCCCCATAATATTTAAGAACTCCAAGATAAGTGAAAACTTTACTTGTGGTAGAACAAAAATGAGCAAGGCTATCACCAATGTTTTAGGACCTAAATCCAGGAGGTCAATTCTTGACGATTTGGAAGATAGCCATTCGTATGCAATTCTAACAGATGCATCTAATAAAGGAAATATTAAAACATTTCCCTTGTTCCTTCGCTATTTCAACAAAAATAAGGGCGTTTAAATAAAACTATTAAATATTATTTCCTCAGATAGTGAAAAATCCAAAGACATAGCTAACCATATATAGAAGATTCTGGATTATCAATGAGTTGCATGTCAGCTTTCTGCGCTGATAATGCATCTGTGAATTTTGGTAAAAAACCAGAATATATTTACAGAATTGAGGTAGCACAATGTTGACTTAATAATATCAATTGGCTGTTTATGCCATATACTAACTATATAATTCTTTCAAGAAGGCAATAAATGTAATATCTGTGGATCGAAATAATAGTAATGAAAGTTTTAACGAATTTAGTTAATCAACTAAAAGTGTTAATGAATTAAAAGAGTTGGTGGAGTGGTCTGACTTGAAATGATGTTGTTGCGATATGTCCTTATCAGATGGTTATCATTAATACCCGCCATCGATAGGATTTTAAAATTTTACGAACCTTTTAATATTTCTTAAATAAAGATTATAAAAGCTGTCCTAGTAGGAATAACTCGATTTACAAATGTAGAAATATTATGACCTTAGAACAGAAACCATTAATTGATGATTTTTGTAATTTAATTAATATATTAAAAATACCGATAGATATTGATGTCTTGTTTGAGGAGATTGTAATGTTCTCTAATTCGCCAGAATACTCAAAGATAGATGTTTTAAAAGCAGAGGAGAAATGGGTGGAATTTCTTCGTAATAACGATAAATCCCCATGTTTGGAAAAAATATGTGAGTATGTTTTCTCCTTACCTCATTCTAATCCCTCATCGGAGCGCATTTTTAGCCTGATGAGGACTACCTGGAAAAAGGAGAGAAATCGGATTGCTTTAACAACATTAGAGAGGCCGAGCTAATGGTTAAACAAATATATAATATGTCATGCCAGGAATTTAATAAATATCTCAATAACGACGGTAAACATTTGGTTCTATTATTTAAATCTCAAATAAAATATAATTAAGTTTTAGCAATGGCGCCATAAAATTTATTGTCAATTTTTAATTGTAAAGATGAACACATCTGCAACATAATTTTGTGAATCTTTGTTAAGATTCTTCTGATTGCAACCACAACCACATTAACAGCATATAGTAGATTTCCTACATGTAAAATCATTCCTAAATATACCTCTGCCATTCATTATTGAAAAAAATTTTCAATGTTAGGACAGCTTTTATAATCTTCATTTAAGAAATATATTATTAATGGTTTATAAAATTTTAAAATTCTATCGATGGCGGGTATTAGGAACATATCGCAACCAACATTGTGCTGACTCAATTCTGTAAATACATTCTGTTTTTACCAAATTCACTGA